GTGCCTCCCACCCCTGCCCTGACGCTCCGTGCCCCTCAGCCTCTGTCTCTCCCTGCGGCTGAGACCCTGCCGCGGGCAGGAGGCCTCGGGATGCCCCGTGCTGGCCTTTAAGCGGCCACGGTGTCTGATCCAGCCTCTTTTTAAGCAGCGCTGGTTAACTAGGCCGAGCGATCTTGTTTCCGACTACTAATGCTGGGTTTAGGTGAGAGCCATGGCATACGAGAGGCCAGCCATGCTCAACCTTTCCATCTCACGGCCCACGTAAACTGCTAAAATTCTGCGGCACACCTAAAAATATAATTTTTGCTGATCTGACCGAAAAAAGGCGTGATTTTGATTCACTGTTGTGTTGGCTGCTGTCACTTGTTTTATTTGACAATCTAAGGAAAAAGAGGTCAGTGCCTCTGACTGAAGAGTCGGGTGTCGCCTGTTTTATAAATCCTTGCGGCACAGGTGGAAAGTCGCTGAGACAGACTGATGGGTGTGGATGTGTCTGGACGCTGGGAAGCCACTCTCTGCGTGGAGTCACTGGGGCCGAGCGTGAGGGACGCTAGACGGGGCGCACAGGGAGCAGCGATGGGGCCTCGGCCCTGCAGGCCCATCGCGGGGTTCTCGGTGCTCAGCAGACCACCACCTGCCCTCGGAGGAGTAACTCCTGGGAACTCAGCTGCGAAGAGCCAGGCCAACGTTCACTCTGGCCAGGTGGAGGGGAGGGGACGCCACAGAGGATCCGGGGGTGCTGTGCGACACAGGAAGGGCTCAGGAACCAGAGCTGTCCCCAGACGGCAGCAGGCCCGAGGCCAGCCAGTCAGGGTGGGAAGTGGGCAAGGGAAAGCGGCTATTTCTGCCCCTGTAACAGGCAGAAGAGGAGGGGGGGTCTTCTCATGCGGAATCAAAAAACTAAAGAATCATTTAATGCCAAAGTATTTCGTGGAAAATCAAATGCAGGCCTTAGAGCCGGCAAACTGGGTGACAGCCTGGCCAATGGGATGCACCGCATGTGGACAAGCCCCAGGGGGCCGCAGACAGTTCCTTCCGTGTCTGGTAACTCATAGCC